CCTTTATTCTTTGGGGTTGGCGCCATCATCTACGGGTCTTTTTTGGCCGTAGTATGCGTCAGCCTTCTTGCATACAACCTCTGGAACAGAAAGAATCTACTGCATTTTGACCAACAAAGGTCTGGCCGAGGTTCTCAGCAGATCTATAAAGAGGAGGAGAGCCTGGATCCAGAGCGGTGCCTGGGCGAGCAGAACGTCTCCGAAAGACATTCTGTAAACACAATGAGGACAATCATGCCTGTTAAGAAGCTGGATGCCTTGAAAGATTCCAAGGGAACGGTATCGACTCTCTCATCTGCTGGCAGCCTGGATTCACGTGGAGCTTCCAGGCAGTCAATGTCCAAGACACCAGGTGTGGAAGTGCGAGATCCCAGTGAAAATAATACGAACATCACAGACCACGCAGACTCGACGGTATGGAGCGATAATGCAAACGATAGGGGGAAGCCATCAACACCCGACACTCCTCTGGCGTATGTGGCTTCCCAGAACGAATATCTGGATCAATCAGTTTTTGGCAGGGACTTGATTCAACAAACTCATGCCACCAAGAATGACCTCTTGGGGTTGGAGACTCACAGCCATTTGCCTCTACCACATATTCCATCAAAAGAGCGACAACGATACAGTGCAAGCATATATTCACAAGATTAGAGTATCATTGGAGTACTAGTCATCCGGTGAGACTCAGGACACAATTAGGACAGGACAGGAGGATTGGGGGGGGGGGGGGTTGAGGAAAAGAAAGGGAAAAAACTAGAGAGCATACATTCTAATGATAAGGAAGAGGTATGCCTCAGCATGGAAGTATATGAATAGCAAAGCATTGCTACATATGGCCAGTGTCTTGCCAATGACGAAGATCTGACGAGGCCCTGATTTCCAGATGAAAAGTTGACTGGTTGCAATGAATCATACATTGTGCTTCATTTCTCGAATGAAATATACTAAAATGATCTGTACGCATGTGTGATTCTTCTATGGCAAATGTAGAGAGACATCTGGGTTGTTGTGGCCGAGAGAAAAGTACTGTCTGACCCCCCCTCGCCGGACACCGTACCCGCCGGACACTAAAATGCGAAATGCCCCACACAAAAGCTATATACTCAAACACACAGAAGTAATTCAATTCAAATCGTATAATAATAATAAATATATCATCGAAATAACCTAAACTTCCTCATTCCAAATATCTATTTGGCATACGGCTAGCCCGCCCAGAAGATGTGCGAATTGGTGGTGAATCCTCACGTAGAATGTCTGCATTATCGTCCTCAGAGTCCTCCTCGTCAACCTCGTCTTGAACCTCCACAACATCCTCAACAGGCAAATCCTCCTCTTCCTGGGCTATATTGGCCTCTTCTCCAGCCGCAAGTGCCTCTAGATAGTCATAAAGCGCTTGTTGGGATTGGGGATCTTCTTGCGCTTCCGGGTCTTCGAGATGGCCTCGTTCTGGGCCTTGAGGGAAGCATTTTGCTGTCGGAGCAAGATAACCTCAGCCTGAAGGTCTTCAAGGTGATTTGCAATCCTCCTCAGCTTGCTGCGTTCGTTGTAGCTTCGATCTCAGCCTATAGCAGTGATAAACCCATGGGAAATAGGCTCATACTCCTCATCCTTCTCCAACTCGTCTGCTCCTCGTTTCTGCTTGTCCTCCTGGATTTCCTCATAAGATAAGGCTTTATGGCGATTGATTGGATAGTTGCCACTATATCTCCATCCTCCTTTTACTACTCTAGGAGTAATTGCTGCTCTGGCTGTAATGAGACACCATAGAAAGTTGATCTTGTTAACAGGGGCTGAGTCTGCGAGATCTTGCAACTTTTGAAGTTCTTTCCGATAGGCTGCTTTCAATACAGCAAATATGCCGTTATCTAGTGGCTGGAGGCCGTGGGAGGTGTATGCAGGGAGAAAGCAAAGGAAAATGTTACTTAAGTAGCAAGAAGCTATAAACTCTGGCTGGTTTATATCAGCACATTATCCTCGAGATTCACTACCTTGAGCTTCACAAGGCTTAACTTACTGAAGTATGGCTATTATGGCTATCTAGGATGAGGAGAATAGCCCGAGATATATTATTCTCACGGAGGATGTTCATCTGAGGAAGAAAAACATCCTCAAGCCACGCCACTGCGATTTCATTGCTTATCCAGCCGTTTTGACTTGTGATCACACGCCAGGTTGGCACAGACTGCTCCATATCTTCAGAAAACCACTGTTTTTGAAGATCTTTGCTCTTGAAGATGATTCCTGGATCGAGAAGCTGGCCTGTGGCTGTACAGCTTTCAATGAGGGTAACCCAGCTTCTGTCCTGGCTACTTTTGAGGAATGCCTTCTTTTTTTCAGAAGAACCAAAGACCAGCGAGTTCAGGCCTAGCAAAAGCATCAGTTTAGAGGCTCTGAGATAAGGATTCCATAGAAATTCACTATATCCAGTCATAATGCCACCCTCATCCACATTCACTGTAAGCTGTGGCTCGATCCACCCATATTCCTTCTCGCGAATGTCGAAATACTAGTTGACAGCTTTCGGGGTGAAGGCATCGTATCTGGTGGCTTCCTGGCGAGTGCCTATTTTATAGCGAATTTGAGGATTTCTCTTCTTGAAGCCCTCTATCCATTTGCAGCCAAGAGCCTTCAGATCTCCCTTCTGCTTGAGGAGGGCTGCTACAACGCCACGAACAGCAGAAGCTGATGGAGCATATCCTAGGCTTTCCTGCTTGATGATCCATCTCGATATATTCTCTTCCTCGGTCGTAGAAAGGCGTTGTTGAGGTTGTTTTACCTCTTGGATTGAAGACCCTCCATGCAGCCGATCTGATAGCGTTTGGGAGGGGATTCCGTGTTTCTTGGCTGATTTCCGCAAAGATAAATGGTTATCTATGATATCGAAGAGGGCATCAGCCATATTCTCCTCATTCCAGGCGTGAGAAGGCATCGTGGCTGGCTTGAGGTAGAAGAGTGTTGAAGGAAAAAGATCACAGTTATCAAGACAGGAAGGAACAGACATTAGCTTCCGACATCACCACAATTGCGTCATAAGGCGTCTGACTACAAATATAATTATATCAATAGATTCGTCATCTAAAGGACTATCTATCTATCAAAACACTATCTAAATAGCTTCAATATTGAGGGAAGTGTATGTATGTGAGGATATTGATATTTGTATGGCGCTGTCGAAAATTAGGTGTCCGGCGGGTACGGGTGTCCGGCGAGGGGGGGTCAGACAGTAGTGGTCCATAGTAAATTTTACACGGGCTCATAGTATCTCGAGTCATAGAGCTATTGATAAGCAAGATTGATGAGGTCTAAGATAAATAGATAATAATATATTCTATCCTGTTGCTATCTAGACTTTTCCACACATTTCTATTATCTACTGTCTACTTCTAAGTAAATCAATTACTGTCTATTGTCCATTGTCTATCGTCAGTAATGTTCATCTTTCTTTGGCCCTCCCCACTTTCTCCTGAGCCTGCAGCCAATGATAGGGGAAGCTGTCAGGTACATAGTACATCAGCACTGGCCACCGTCATCATGCAAGGAACCCCTGTAGCATTCTTTCAGGAGGTCAGGGTTTTTATGTTTTATTTTTTTTAAGCTCCGAGCTTTCTTCTCATACCACTGACTGATTGACTCTGCTGTTTCTGTTCCATCTCTCCACTACAACTTTCCACACACAAGCAAAACACCACATCAACACGCCGCCCAAAACTCTATCCCCCTTTATTGACACTTCTCACTCTCATTTCCGCCTCGTCTTCTTCTGACTTGTGAGCTATACATCAATCAACCCGAGATGCCTCCCAAGTCAAAACGCGCCCGCGCCGCGACAAAGGCCGCGCCGGGAGTCAATGGCACGGCCGACGCCGCGTCCAAGAAGCGCAAGGCCGATGATGTCGAGGTCGAAGACACCAAGACTGCCCCTGCGAAACGGGCCAAGGCAGCCAATTTCGACATCAAGAAACTCGACGAGGCCATCGAGGACATTGATGATGCCGCCAAGAAACCCAACAAGACTGCAAAGGCGTCCAAGCCCGTCCCCAAGCGCGCCGCTGCGACTGCGACAAAGACCAAGGCGAAGGCGGTCTCGTTGGTGCCCGAGTCCGGCCTCGAGAGCTTCCAGACCTCGCCGCCCGACACCTCCTCCCTACCCGTCATCAATGCGGCTCCTACCGATGTGCTCACCGTGTACGTGTTTGGCACCGGCGATATGGCTGGTGAGCTTGGCTTAGGTCCCAACAAGAAAGCCGCCAAGCGCGCCACCGTCATCCCCAAGCTGGACACGAGAGAGGCCGACAGCTACCGCGTTGTGCAGCTCGACTGTGGTGGCATGCATACCATCGCCCTGACGGAGGACAGCAAGATCGTGACATGGGGCGGGAATGATCTCGGCGCCCTGGGCAGAGACTGTTCCTGGGACGGTGGACTCCGCGACCTGGACGATGGCGGTGATGGGTCTGGCTCTGAAGACTCGGATGACGAGGCGCTCAACCCGGTCGAGTCCACTCCCACGCACATTCCCCAGGAGTCCTTCCCAGCAGGCACAAAGTTCACCTGCGTCGCCGCCGGTGATAGCTGCAGTTTCGCTGTCACCGACACCGGTCTCGTGTACGGTTGGGGAACGTTTACAGTAAGTTATTCCCCTTGCACATTCTCTGCTGTTGGTCGCGGTTCTATGAACGCCCCCACCCCCCCTCTTTTCCCAGAATGATTAGGAAAAACAAAGCTGACGCGACTTTGCGCGCGCGAAATAGGACAGCGAGGCCAAGCAATGCTTCCTCTACTACAACGGCGAGACGATCAAGAAACGGGAAAAGCCCATGTTGATACCTGGCCTCCAGAACATCAAGTCTATTGTCTGTGGCGCAAATCATGCTGTCGCCCTTGACCACTCGGGCCGCATATGGACGTGGGGCGTGAACGAGAAGACCCAGGTCGGCCGTCGCGTCCATGCTGCGCAGGACTTCAAGGACAATTACTATCCTGGTGTTGCCGACATGAGCCGCTATGGCGTCAAGAGCGTTGCCGCCGGCCCGTACCACTCGCTGGCCGTGGACAACAAGGACCGCGTCTTTGCTTGGGGCATGAACAACTTTGGCCAGGCCGGCTACGCAAGCAACGCTGGCGCCGACAGCGCCGAGCTGCCGTATCCGATGCAGATCAAGCCCCTGTCCAAGCAAGGCATCGAGCAGATGGCTGCTGGTGCGCACCACTCCGCCGCCGTGACCAAAGACGGGCGCTATCTCGTCTGGGGCCGGATCGATGGAGGGCATCTCGGGCTAAAGCTGTCGCAGGAGCAGATCGATAACCCCAAGGTGGTCCGCAAGGACGAGTATGAGAAGCCCCGGATCTTGCTGGAGCCCACCGCCGTGCCTAACCTTGGCAAGGCGGCTTACATCGCCTGCTCCACTGGCCATACCATCTTTGTTAACAGAGATGGCAAGGCTTTTGCGTCGGGATTCGGGTCGCAGTTGCAGCTCGGCAACGGCAAGGACGATGATGTCGAGGTCGCCGAGGAGGTGAAGGCCAAGTCGTTGGAGGGCGTCAAGCTCTCGTGGTGTGGAACGGGCGGGCAGTTCAGCATGGTGGCTGCACCCGGTGTGGTGAAGCAGGTCAATGGTCACAAATAAAATTGCATAGCGGAGGTTGATTTTTGATTTTTTTCTGTAACGCAATTCTGCATACACAGATGGACTTGAGAGCAGGTTTGGCGTTCAATTGCACATTGAATTTCCTCCCCAGAAGACGCGGCGGCTCTACTTAGTGGAGCTCACCTGGTGCCATTACACTCGAACAACATGATGCTATAATCAATGACCATACATCATTTCGCTCTCATCCATTCATTCTATCCTCTACAATCCTTGAGCAGATTTCAACTTTTTTTTTTGTTGCAGACAGACTCAGGATACATATAACACGAGGGCTGCACTATATCAATGCTTAGGCCTGGACCTCCTCTGACCACCAGGCAGTCCGACTAATACCTAAGGACTTGCCTTTACAATCCACTTGGAGCCTACATAATGCAGTCCGTTTGGCTGTGGTGCCCTCGGCTGATGCTAGCTCCTGTGACAAACCTCCCAGCGTGCAGTAGACTTAAGGACTTTGCTCAGGGCGAGGTTGTTCTCAGACCATGCAGCGTAATCATGACATAAACGGGGCGAGATGGACTGTTGTGTAACCAGATAAATATCGTATTCGCTGCGGTGGAACCGCTAGGATGCTCTCGCGCAACACCGTGTCCCAACAGCTTGAACAGCAAGGACATACATGTATTGTATGCTATTTCGATCTTTTCTGCTCCACTTTAGCCAGCCAACACGGGGTTCTCGTTTAGTTTGTTTCCTTCCTACTCATTCTGTAGAATATAGTTTAGGGCGAAGGATTATATTCTTCTTCAAGGCCTTGACTTACTTCACTGGAACGAATCTTATTCCACCACACCAGTCAGAATCACCCACCGCGAACCTCCCGTTACCCAACTAACAAAAGAGGAGAAAACCGTCGTTCTTCTCACTCACACTTGGGACGAATGAAACTTTGGTCAGTGATGAATCTTGCCTGTCTTGAACTGGCTCTGTATACGGTCGCTTCTTGCCAGTCAGCAGCGCCACGGCAACAACCTTCCTCCTCCCCCTCCATTCCCCTCGACCGAGCCTCCGCCTCCCCCTTTTGGATCTGCCGCCAAGTCATGAAGTCGAACGGGGTTCTCATAATACTCGATGGCACGGCGTCCGCCTCCCTCTCCGTAAATTTCTCCTCCAGCGGCAAGTACCCCGTATACACCCCGCCCCCCCAGTCGATCCTCACTCACAAGCCCTCTTCAAGCTCTCCTTGTCCGGGCCCAGAGTTCCATGGTGCAGCATACTCCATTGAATTCTTACATTATATGCACTGACATGATCATCACAATCTCGGACCTCATCGGGGGCGTGGCCACTCTCCAAGCCCAAGGTGCCATGAGCTTCTGTCGCAGGCACGACGAGTATGCGAACGTGCGTGCGTTGGCAACTCGATCACGGCCTCCGAGGGCGGCTGTACGAGTGATATGACATTCTACAAGGGCTTCGTGCTCTGGTGGGATGGCGCACGCAAGCGCAACTTCTGTCCTCGGACGCGAGATCGGATCCTGTGGGTCATCAAGGCGTCGGCAGAGGCTGCTGTCGAGACGTGCACTGGGGTTCGACGCATTGAGCACGCAGGCAAATGTACGCGGCAACAGAAGGATGAAACAAGCAACCTTGCGCCTGTTGGATTGAGAGATATCGTCAGGGCTGTTATCATGACCTGTTTGAAAATTCCGGGTGCCACGATAATCCTTGTTGTTGTATGTCCTGACGTTGATGAGAAGAACTTGTGTGTGGTCTGTGGGGTCCGCCAACCGCCAATTGAGTAATAGGACTTCTGAGGACGAGTGACGGTGAACATAATTAATTTATAAACATGTATACATACACCACCCATGATTGTTAGTTGGCAGCTCAGCCAGAGTTTGGCTGCGAAGGGATCTCACCTCGCCTCACCTCTAGAATGCAGTGCATTAGACACGGGCCGAACCGCTGCGCTTGAAGAAGATCGGAAAACAAAGGGCCCATGAATCCGGTTCATGTCACTCTCCAAGGACGACTTCTTCGACTCTTTGAACCCCGCGCAGAGTCTCCACCTCTCGGCATTCAACTTGCCGATGTGCTGATGCAGGTTGACGTCGTTCATTACCCTTCCTCTCTGTCTCTATTTCTCTTGCGTGAGATACCAATACTACTCCACTTGGAAAAGGTAGGGAGTTGGAAAGCATCCTTGTTCACCCGGAAGAAAAGAAAAGAAATTGCATGTGAGAGGAGAGAAAGAGAGACTTGAAAATCATGGAAGGCGGCGATGACGACCACCACGAGGTCGCCCTCCAGAACCTCTACCGCAAATTTATCACGGGTTGCCACATCTTGCATTACCACGGGGTTCTCGACGCTTATGGTCACCTCTCGGTCCGGCACCCTTTTGACCAGCACATGTTCATCATGTCCAAGTACATCGCGCCCGGCACCATCTCGTCCCCGGACGACCTGATCATCTACTACGTCGACAACGCCGAACCGCTGGACCCCTCGTCGACGAAGGGCTACTCCGAAAGGCACATTCACTCCGAAGTATACAAGCGGCATAGAAACGTCCAGGCCGTGATCCACAGCCATGCTGAGAGCGTAATTCCCTACACCATCTCAGGGGTCCCTCTGCGGCCGTGCTACCACATGGCCGGGTTTCTGGGCCTGGGGTCCAAGGGCTGTCCTGAGGTGTATGACATTGCCCAATTTGTCAGGGAAGGCGAAGGGGACACGCCCGACCTGCTGGTGCGGAGCGCACACCTAGGGGCGCCCCTGGCCAAGTGCTTCGACGAGGGCGGCGTGGTGGCACTGATGAGGGGCCACGGCCTGACGGTCATCGGTGGCGGTATAGAAGAGGTCGTTTCCAGGGCCATCTACACCATGAAGAATGCCAGCATTCAGAGCACCGCCTTGGCATTGCAGACGGCACACAGCCAACATCAAGCACGGGTGACTGCTACTGCTGCTGCTGGTGGTGGTCTGCAGTACCTGAGCCAAGACGAGGCTAAGGCTGCCACGGGTATGTTGAAGTGGTCTGCGATGCGGCCCTGGGGTCTGTGGGCTCGCGAGGTGGAAGCTTGTGGTCTCTACCGTAATTCGGCTTGACACAAAGGGAAACACTCCTCAGCCGGCTTCCTGGGAAGGAGACTTGGCTGTCAACAAGACATCTTCCCTCTTCAAGACATAGTAGACTCCTATAAGTCCCCGAAAGGGCCATATGGATTTGATTTTTTGGGTTTTCCGTTTTCTGGTTCTTGGTGATGTCGATTTTCCCGCTGCCGCCGCTCCCACTGCGTCAGTCTGAGGAACAACGGTCGTCTTGACACGCACTTTGTCATACACAGTCGGCAGATAGTCAGCACCATACTTCTCGCGCACAGAGTGGTATGCCTCCCAGTCATACACCTTCCAGAACTCCTCCTCGGTGTAATATGCGTGCGCATAGAGCGTCTTCCATCCGCCCAGCCTCCGGATTATGGCCTCAAGTGCCTGGTTCTTGCGGAGGGCCTCAGCCCCATCCCACGAGCTGAGCCCCCAGACACCAAAGTTTAGCAGGTCCGGGTAGTCTGGACGGCCCATGGCAGCGTGGATCCCGTGGCAGGAATCGGGCGAATTCCGGCGCACGCGCAATGGACACAACCAGATGGGGTAGATGCCGACATTGTCGTCGAGGTAGGTCTTGAACTCTTGGCATCTGTCAAAGGGTATGCCGCAGTCTTGGACCATGTAGTGGTAGGCAAAGTCCGTCTTGGCCTGTGCCGTGTTGATGATGCGTGTGTACATGAAGGGGTCCAGCAAGTAGCGGGTGACGCGGTTGAAGGGCACCTTGAAGTAGGTGAAGGCCTGACGGCCTGTCCAGAAGCCGCCCCGGTCGTAGCGGAACAGGTAATCGACAAGAGGAATGTAGTCGACCATTGTCTTTTCCTCTTGGTCCTCGTCCCCCTCGGGCGATGACGACCTTGTCTGCTGCAGCCTTGCGTGGACTTGCTCCACCCGCAGGTAGAACCAAGGATCCTTCCGCCGTGTGAAGCGCCTGAGCTGTTCGCCCGTTGGGAGATCCTCCACAAGACGGCCAGAGCAAGTCACAGTCGAGCTCTTGGTAAACATGATGGCATCTACATAGTCATTGTCTTGTCTGTCCATCTCCTCACGCAGCCTCACGAGGGTCCTATCAAAGGACCCCTTCGTGACGTGGTACGTTAGCTGGACATATCTCTTGGCCTCCATGAGCTGCACCCGGAGCAGCGTTACTATGCCGAGCGTACCAAACGCAGATGCCGCACCCCAGAAGAGATCACGCTTGTCGTTGTCGTGTTTTGATGCCCTCGTCACATGACCAGTCGGCAAGATGATCTCGATCTCATCGATGGTGGCCTCAAACAAACCAAAGCGGAACGAGCTGCTCTCACCGGCACTGCCGGAAAACCCGCCGCCCACTGTGATGCCTGGGAATTCCATGACCACCTTGGGGATGAGGCCATGTTGCATCGTGGCAGCGACGAGGGCATCCATGGGGACATTGGGCTCGACCCATGCGGTCTGCGCGGCTGGGTCGACGCTGAGGACGTGGTTCAGGGCGCGCGTGTCGACGATGTTGTCTCGGTTCCGTCCAGAAGGTCTCGTGCTCAGGCTCGAGCCGTGGTAGTTCCTGAAGGGCTTCCTGTCCTTGTGGAACTCTTTGACCCGTGCTGCAACCTTGGCCACGGTTGCGTCGTGATCGTCCATGTCTCTCGTTGTGATGTTTCGATTGCGATTGCGTCGTCGAATTTCATTTGGGACAATGAAACGACCCTGGAAGCTGATGATGAACACTTCTGGGCTTGGATACAGGATGACTACTTGATCCAGCCGGAGATGAATCACTGTTGTTGTTGTTGCTTGACGAAAAGTTTCTCCTCTAATCAATGCAAGCTGGCCCTGAAAACCCCCTCTCGTAAGCCCTGAAAGCCATGTTGATTGCTCTTTCCAAAGCCCACCAGATATTTCTGGGTAACAAATCAAACCCCTAACCCTGAGCGCATCCCTGAAAAACCTTACACCTGTTTGGGGGTTCGCAAATACCTTCCTTGCTGGGACACTTTTGATCCTTCGAATTCTCTCTTATGAATTGGATGTTCTCTTTATTTCAATATCGAGTCTCGACTTACATAGCAACGAACCTTGATTCTCTTCTCACATTCGACGGCTGGACCCGATCTGCAAAGTAAAGATAGCTGGCCACTGGTGGCTTGGCCGCATCGCTTAGTACAACCCAAGCTTGATTTTTCGACCCCTCGCCTCGGTGTCTCCGCTGACCCTTCTATAGTCAAGCCTACACTTAGTAGTCCGCGCCGTGTTGGCGCTGTTAAGGTTTCGCGGCCCTACCCGTAAGGGGGTTTTCTTGGTGTTTTTCCCCTCCCGTTCTGCGCCGAATAATGTTCCTTTTCCGCGCCTAAAGACCTCAGCTTACCTACTTCATACGAACCATGAACCATGGTATGCACGCTCTGAGCAAACAGGTGACGCGTCTTTGTATACTATGGTAGATCGGATGGAACCTATTCCGAGGGTCGTTGCTGGACAATCTTGCATACTAAGGATTGGATGAACAAAAGCAAAAGCAAAAGTAAAAAAATTGAATAATTACTGGCCAGCCTTGCAGGGTGGAACGATGTTTTGGCGAGACAATCAACGAATGATGCCCTCCAGAGAGAGGCTTACGAAAGACATATTGCCCTTTCTGCAATGAACATCCAATCCAATGGGCACGCGACCACCCTGAAAGAGGAGAGAATTTTAGATCTGTCCCAGGCCAAAGGGTCCGCGCGCACAAACAAGTTCTTTAAGTAAATGGATGTGGTAAGAGGCTCTTGTCACGATCCACATAAATTGTCTCGGATCCCTGCAGCTATACTACATTTGGCCGAGGATGCCAATGATATTTGTGGTTTCTCTGACAGTACACGACTCAGGGCGCAAAGGTAAGGCAGAGAGGCAATGAAAAAGAATCAGCTTCATACCCCCTCCCAACAACTTTTGATTTAGATTGAGAGACATGGGTCATATTATGCTCATGGATGAGTTTTCACGGGGCCAAAAACGAGTAAAAGAAGTTGCACACCACACTACATCTATTGTCAGCCTTGTCTCACAGTTTTTCTCACAAGGCTACTATCGAACACCCACGCACACACATACCCTCGAGTCCAGAATGGGCCGGATTTAGAGTACACACTTGCTAATTGATTGGTCTTAGCCACACAGCTCTGGCCACGACTCAGGGATCTAGAACTATGGGTTCCAGGCCTCCCCCAGAGTACCCCACGATTTGGATCCAGAGAGGTGGCTCAGCGGGTCAGACAAAAGATAACAGCAATCTGGACCACTAATCTACCCACTTTGAAGGCGAGCAGCAATAGCAGCAGCAGCAAAAAGAAGCCAGCGCGGTTCGTTGGTCAGGCCACGGACTGCCCACTGTATTCAACTAACGACTAATGGTGTTGTGTGTACAAAATCGACAACCCTGACGCGGGAGAGGGGGCGGGCTAGCTGCTAGGTTGCCAAGGCATCGTAAGAGGCGGTGGTTTCTTCATCGGGCCAAAAAAGCCACTGGACCCAAACGAAGATCGACCCGCGCGGCGGACATGGGCAGTCCCAGCGCAGACACAAATTACCACCCCCTTCCCCGACTAATGGTCGAGATAGGGGCAAAGTCAAGAGTAAAGCCGAAGGCTTATTTTTTTACCCTTCGTGTTGTTGTAAGTGAGATAAGGAAAGAAGCAAAAATACGCTATGAATGCATTGCCTGACTTATATTGATGTAGCTATATATTGATCGTGTTGCTCTTTTTGGCTGCATCGTCAAGCGCGCCCTTTCGCACTCTCCCCTCACCCAACCTTCTTCATTTACATCCGTGTGTTTCTCTGGCTGCAGCCAAGAAGTGGGTTCAATACTGCGTGTACCAAAACAATCACAAAGGAAGACAAGGGACAAACCCCGTCCATAGTCACCATGTTTGGTATTACCCGCTCTACGTCCAACTCGTCGGGCGACGACAGCGCCAAGAAGGAGAAGACGACTGCCGAGGACCTGCACCCTGTTGAGTCGACGCGGGTGGCCCGTATCTATGAGGACCCTGCTGCCCTAGACAACCTTGAGGACACACATATCGGCGAGTTTGGCACCAAGCGTGACCTCAAGGCCCGCCATGTTTCTATGATTGCCATTGCTGGTACAATCGGCACCGGTCTGTTCTTGGGTTCGGGTGCTGCGCTGGCCAATGGAGGCCCTGTGGGCTTCTTCTTGGGTTATACCATTGTTGGCTGTCTGGTTGGTATGATGATGTACTGCCTGGGTGAGATGTAAGTTGACTATTACAAACGACCTTTTCTTTTTCCCCTTTACTCAAACCATGCACTTGTGAGAGGCTTTTCTAACAATTTTTGTTTGATAATAGGACCGTCTTCGCTCCTAATATCGGCGGTTTCATCGAGATGGGCAACAAGTATATTTCACCAGAGATGGGATTCGCCATGGGTATCAACTACGTCCTCCTGACGGGTTTCACTGTTCCCACGGAAATCACAGCTATTGGTCTCATGATAGGATTTTGGGACGAGACATCTAGTCATGTAAGAACTCTACTTGCTGGCCTGGAGAAGTAAAGGAGATCTTGAGAGGGGTTCATGTGCTGACTTTTGTTACACAGCTTGCCGCATACATTGCCGTCTTCTTGGTGGTGTGTATTCTGACCAACTTCCTTGGAGTGAAATACTACGGAGAGATCGAGTTTTTCTTTGCCTGTCTCAAGATCGCCCTGCTGGTAGGGCTGATTATTTTCGGCATCGTTGCCAACACTGGTGGTGTCAATGGAGGTAGGTTTCCTTCCTCTCTCCTCCTTCCTTTTGTGGGAACATGTTTTTGCTCCACAGCAGCCAGGTACTGACAATGAGGACGATGAATAGTGTACACTGGTGGCAAGTACTGGCGCACCGAGCCCTTCAACGACACCTTTGGCGACCTTTCCCCTGTCAGCCTCGCCCGCTTCCTGGGCTTCTGGAAGGTCCTCACCCAGGCCGCTTTCGCCTATGGCGGTGTCGAGTCGATCGGTATCATCGCCGGTGAGGCGCACAACCCCCGCAAAACCATGAAGACGGCCACCAAGACGGTCTTTTACCGCATTGTCGGTCTGTACGTCACAGCCGTCATCATCATCGGCGTCAACGTCAGCCAGCACTCCCCCGAGCTGCTGTCGGCCGTCGCCGCCGGTGGCAGCACCGCCGCCTCGTCCCCCTTCGTCGTCATCTGCCAGCAGACGGGTGTCAAGGTGCTCCCCTCGGTCATCAACGCCATCGTCATGACCTCGGCCCTGTCGTCTGGCAACGAGAACGCCTACGGTCTCTCTCGCACCATGATGGCCCTCGCCCGTCAGCGCTCCATGCCGTCCGCCTTCCTCAAGACCAGCCGCGTCGGAACTCCTTACATGGGCGTCATCGTCGCCTTCTGCTTCGGCTGCCTGGCCTTCCTGTCCGTATCCAACGGTTCCGACCAGGCTTTCACCTGGCTGTCCAACCTCTCGGCCCTCAGCTCACTCATCGCCTGGACGTGCATCTGCATGTGCTATGTCCGCTTCAAGGGTGCCCTGGACGCCCAGGGCGTTGACCGCAAAAACCTCCCTCTCCGTGGATACTGCCAGCCCCTGATGGCCTATATCTGCATTTTCATGTTCATCATCATCCTGTTCTTCAACGGGTTCCAGGCGTTCCTGGGCAGCTTCAGCGTGGCGGACTTTTTCGCCAGCTACATCACGATTCCTGTTTTCGCCATCGCCTGGCTTGGATTCAGGCTGTACGGCGCGAGGGCTGGCAGGCCAGTCGGCATGACGCCTCTGGACCAGATTGACCTCAGCAGAGGACCTGAGGGGGCCCTGCGGGGGACCAAGTATGATCTGGGTGCGCCAGCCCAGATGGGACGTTTCTAGAGGGATAGATTCTAGAAAGAGAATAGAGATGGGGATTTGAGATAGATTAATATGATACCACGATACCTATTGAGTATATTTTTTGTGACTGTTCCAAAGTAGTATGGTCATGGCCGTCCCCAGCGCAGGCTGGAATATGTGCGTTCTACAAGAATCTTCACGAGGAGACATCCTGTGGAAGGGTTCGGACAGTGGCTGTCAAGGGTTGTAGTTCATGTGCCACTCCTTTCCTACGTGTCTCGAATCTCTGAAAGACTATCTCTGGAATTACTTTCGCTTGACACCCTCATGGCACATGATTCTGGTCAGATGCTCCCAGATGTGGCGAGCGGCCCATGGGGTCTGGACTGGCATGGCGACGAAGGAAGACTGAAGAGGCTTTGTGATTCATACGCGGTAACGATGTTGGCCGCAAAAGTCTGGTTCTTAGCCAGGGCTGACAATACTGTGTACATCGACTAGGCTGACTTTTTTTTTTTTTTTTTTTTTTTTTTTTTTTTTGTCTCGGAAAGATATCTCACACACCATACTGCGGACCCCCGAATCAAGTATCCCAGCCCATTACCGCCGATAATTGTTTTTTTCTTCTTTTTCTTTCAAATTGTTATCATAGGTTGGGTACCAAGTATTTCGTACTTATGGCGGTTAGTACTTAATAAGTAATCGGTAAGTACCGTGCATTGATGATCATAAATCCATTGCATCTTATGCATTCAATGGCTGCCGATGATCACCGCCAATTTATTTTATGGAGCCTTCGGAACAGTACGGGCCATGTCCGGAGGAAGTCGCTTTATCCGCTGCAACCAGGTGGGTCTCAGTGTATTTTTAAAAGTGGAAGAAGGCCTCTGCGCATGGACAAGAGTGGTGATCGATCAGCAGTACACCCAAGTCCTAGATGCTGGCGGTGACAAAGTGATGTGCCTCGTTTTTTTTTTTTGAGAGAGAGACAGCCGATCTAACCGGAATAGCTTTGATCGTGCATGCAGGCTGGTGGAGCATTGCTGACCACCGCACCGGAAAGGCACCGACAGAATGGGCGAGTTTATTGAGCGACTTCACATGGTGTGGCAGAAGAAATGTTTTGTCTGTGTTTGACAAAGTCGATACATGCATTGTGATGAGACTCTTTGAGTCCCCCGTCGTGAAGGTCTTTATTCTTTCGTGCGCAAGGCAGATGTGGAAAGGATGAAAGAAAAAAGTCTAATATAAACCCAGTACCCAGAAAATAAACCACCATCCCAACGCCTCAAGGCAGTCGCAGCTCAAGCTCTTTGACCTGCAAGCACCTCGTAAACAAATAGATTCCTACACCTCAATGGCGTGGTTGCCCTCGGCGTGCAGAGGGTTCATGCTCTCGTCAAAATGCATCTTGAAATCGTCGCCCAGCTGCTTCCGCAGCGCCGTCTTGACCGCCTCGAGGACGTTCGGGAACACGCCAAAGTTGGCTGGGTTGTTCTCATCATTATCGCCGCCCTGAAACACACCGGTACGCACCAGACATGTGTTCCAGCCGTACATGTTGCCGCCGATGATGTCCGAGGCAGGGTTGTCACCGACCATGTAGATGTTCTCGGGCAGCCTCTCCTCGCCGTGCAGCTCCTCCATCCAGCTGGCCATGACCTCGTCGGCGTACTTGTACGTGGCCATCTCGGGCTTGCCGTAGACCACACGCTCCAGGTCCACACCCGTCAGCGAGCGGTACATGGCCTCGAGACCGATGCGGAATGCACCCTGCGACATGCGCGGGTATGGGTGCTCCGTAGGGCACAGCATGTCGCCCTGGCTGAAGTAGATGGGGATGCGCTGCGACACGGGGTCCTTGGCCAGCGTGTGGAACCGCCCGTTCTCGGACCGCAGCAGGTCGACAATGATCTGCATGTCGGTCGCGTAGTCGCGGCTGTCGCTGAAGACGAGGATCGCCTCGATGTTGACCTTGGAGAAGTCACGAGGGCGAGAGGTGGCGCGCTCCGCGTCGGTGAAGACCCGGTAGGGGGCGATGGTTGGGTCCCATGCGATGATGTCGTTGGGCACCACGATGTCCTTGAAGCCGTACTGCTCTGCGACGTCGCGGCACTTGTAGCCCTCGCCACCGACCACCAGGACAGTGTTGTAGTACTCGGACAGCGCCGACATGGGCGTGTGCGACTGGATGAATTGGTCCACGTGGACGGGCTGGCCGAGAATCTTGGACAGCTGCTCGCAGCGTGCCTGTTCAGGCTTACCGGAGCCGTTTGTGAGGCTTGTTGAAGGAAAACAAAAATGTTAGCATAGAGTTCTAAAGCCCCAAGGAGAGATTTTCGTCTTGTATGCCGTAGGCAGTGGGTTGGTATGTGAACAGTGCGGTGTGAAACTTACAAGATGTGAGGAATCTTGATGCCGAGCTCGTTCTCGCCATTCAGAATCTCCAGGGCCTTGCGACCCTCGGGAATCAGACGATCACCGTGAACAAGCACACCATCAATATCGAAGGCAAAAGCCATGTTCTTGGCCTTCTTCACCTTCTCCGTCTCGATGGTCTGCACCTGAGATGCCAGCAGAGCACGAGTGGGCTGGATGGCTGGCATGCCAGGCCTGGTCGGCCGACCCGTCCCAGACTCCCGCGCATCAGGGTAGTGGACGGACGACAGGCGAGACTGTCTCGAGGCTCTTCTTGGGATAGGCAGCGAAGCGCCAAAAGAATTGCGCGACCCCCGTCTGTCCTTCATGGACGGCGACACGCTCAGATTGTGCATGTACTTGGCTGCCTCGGACACAGAGGACCGGGTGGCGGGCACCTCGATGGCGCCCTCGCCGTGCTCGCCTGGGACTGGAATGCCTGCTTCCGTCTTGGCTGAACCATTCTGGTGACCGTTGGTCTCGACGGCAATGTCGGAGTCCTCAAAAGCAACCATCTTGAAAGACGTTGAAGGGAGGAAAGGATGTGGTGGAGGGGGTATCAAAATAAAGTTGGAGTAGTTATGTATGGGAATGTGTTTGTCGTGTTCGTTGTGGACTTATATGCTAAAACACCACAGAGCTGAAAGAGGGTATATCATCAAGTAACGACAAGAGTTGTCCTTCTTCTGTCAGCGGGAGCGTGGGCTCTTCAAACGTTTAAATACCTGCCGTCCCAGAGGTCAAATCTCCTTTCCACCTCGGATGACTACGGGATTGTATTTTTTCTTCTTCTTTTCTCTCCTTCGTTCGAGCTGGAGCTTTCCCCCTATCGCTCAACCCATCCTCAACCCAGGGCCTTGTTACTTGAGGCCACGCGGTGAGCTAGAGGACGGCAGCATCCTGGTTCACGTCGAAACGGGACGAAAGACATGATGATCCATCCATCATCCTGCCATGTACATTTTACAGTGCATGGTAAGTTAGTACGTACTTGGCCAAGGTATTCCGTGCCAAGTGTACTGTCTACATTCCCGCCGCGAGATGCGCCGGCGTTGAGACGTCAGAGAACGACAAAGAAAGCATGTCGTCAATACCTGGCGTCAGCCTTCCAAGGTATGGAACGGGAACCTTGACGCTTATCCGTAATCTATAATGGAGCTGTTCTTGGACAAGTCGGCACAGCGATGGGACCCTGACTCGCCTGGGAACGTCATCGCGCCACAATTATCGCGACAAATTCACGCGAACAGGGAGCCGTAGGAGGGAACGAGAGGAGACATGGAGACAGTCTTGACAGTGCCCACAAGCACTGAGTGTGAGGATAGAGGTGGGCGGGGGGAGACGGCACACGGCAGACTGTGTCTCTGCATGAAACAAAGGCTGCGGCTGTGAGTTGTACTGTGTGCTGTATAGGGCAGAATATGGAGCAAGATAATGGACCAGATGGTGAATGGTGTGTGAGCACTCGCGTCAGCCAGATCCGCAGCTTCGTACGATAAGGTTTTTTTGCGGTGAAAAGTAAAAAATTAGGGGCTAGACGTTGGACGAATGCAGGCATGGGCGCAGAGCCGCAGAAACTGTCAGCGTTCATAGGTGGCGGCTCATCAGTGCTTGGGGCTGCTAACTGAAGTCGGCCTTCCCCGAGCCAACCTCGTTCGTTATAGCCAGCGTTTACTACGTAGTAAGTTTTTTTGTTAGGTTTTTCTCTCTCTGTCTCTCTCCCTCCCTTCGATTTTACCCCCTCCTCTCCTTCTTTTCCATTTGTTCCAAAATCTTCCCTATCCCCTGGCTAAACCCCTTCGGAAGGGACAGCAAAGACCCTGATACGCTGCATAATCTTCAGGGAAGCCATCCACCGGAAAAGGGCCGTGTTTTCTAGGTACAGGACCATATAATGGTCTCCGCCTGGCGGCATGTTTGCGGATCCTCAGCGGGCCGGGTGATGTCACAAAACCGGGCCTCGGATAAAATCTCTGTTCGGTAAGATCCAGGCGGCAACGGTGACTTGAAGATCGGGGCACCGCCTGCCTGGTGATCCTCTGTCGGCCTTGCTCAAGAGAGACTTGTCAGAATGCTGGCCTTGCGCGCATAAAGTCGTGTACCAGAATAACTAAAAACCTAATCTACAGTCTTTGTACTGGTGACCCTTGCGTCACCTGAAAACCCCAGGGACCCTTTTTCACATGCCTGACGTCTGATTCGACCTTGATTTCTCTAGTGAAACCGCCTGTTCCGTAAACAGGACCCGCTGTCACCTCCTTCTGGTGGGATCGGCTGTCACCTAAAAGGTACTGTTTGACTGGGACAATATTGGCACCCTTGACTTATTCAAGTCATGTCAAACAGAGTTGGAGCGATGAATAAGTCGTGGCGATGATCCCAGAAAAAGAGGAAAAGAAGAGAAAAGAAAAATTAACTTTTTTTTTCACCGTACGACAAAGCAAACTATGACACTGTGGCGACAAGCCAAGGAAATAATGCGGCTGTCGTTGGGGCCAAGATGATGCAATGCCCAAGAAAGAACATTGAAGGGAAAAAGGCCAACGAAAAGAAAGAGAGAGAAAAGACGCGCTCTCCCTTGATGAATAATCAATCGGTCGCTCGCCGAAGGGTTTTCCAAGGGAGGCCCTAACTCTAAAATGCTGACGCCCTCTCCTTGATCACCACAGTACGAATACTCACAGTCCTGTCGAGTCAAACCCTGATTATAGTATACATACTACGTAGTCTTGATATTTGCTCGTCCTGTCAACGCCGTCATACTTGAGAGTTGACACAATACTTTGACCGACTTTCATATAGACAACAACACATACGTCCTTATCCTACACACTACTCATCGAGGCATTTTTAAGACACAACTTCCAGTAAGTTGGCACTCACCTTATCTTCCTCTATCCTCTAAAGACTCTCAGAAGAGTACTAACTGACATCATGTAGCATTATCTTTCCTTATCTGAAGGAGTATAAACCACAAAATTACAGCAACACCACGAATATGGCTCAGCACACGTTCACTCTCAACAATGGCGTCAAGATGCCCGGCCTTGGCTTCGGCACCTTTGCTAGCGAGGGCGCCAAGGGTGAGAGCTACAGGGCCGTCCAGAAAGCTCTCGAGGTTGGCTACCGGCACCTGGACTGCGCCGCCTTCTACCAGAATGAGGACGAGGTCGGCGATGCCATCCGGGACTACATCAAGGAGAATCCGGGTAAACTGAAGCGCGAGGACCTCTTCATCTGCACCAAGGTCTGGAACCACCTGCACCAGCCCGAAGACGTGAAGTGGTCGTTGGAGGAGTCACTGCGCAAGCTCGGCCTCGATTACGTCGACCTGTTCCTCGTCCACTGGCCCATCGCCTCGGAGAGGACCGAGGACTACCAGCCAAAACTCGGCGCCGACGGCAAGTATGTGATCAACAAGGAGCTCACTGAGAACCCTGAGCCGACATGGCGCGCCATGGAGGAGATCAACCAGTCCGGCAAGGCCCGCGCCATCGGTGTCTCCAACTGGACCATCGATGGCCTGAAGAAGCTCTTCTCCTATGCCAAGATCAAGCCCACCGTCAATCAGATCGAAATCCACCCTTTCCTCCCCAACGAGGAGCTGGTCAAGTTCTGTTTGGAGAACGGCGTCCTGCCCGAGGCCTACTCGCCCCTCGGCTCTCAGGACCAGGTGCCCAATACCGGCGAGAAGGTGCGCACAAACAAGACACTGAACGAGGTGGCCGATCGCAGCGGCCACACCCTCGCCCAGGTGCTACTGGCATGGGGCCTGCGGAGGGGCTACGCCGTCCTGCCCAAGAGCTCCACGCCGAGCCGCATCGAGAGCAACTTTCATGTCCCAGAGCTGTCCAATGACGACTTTGAGGCTGTGAACAGCGTGGCCAAGGGACGGCACACGCGCTTTGTGAACATGAAGGACACTTTTGGCTACAACGTCTGGCCTGAGGAGTCTCTAGAGAACGGCACTGCTGTTGCTTGATTGACTTATTTTTTGTTTCCTTAATTTTTACGAACCCAGTCTCTCACGGGCGAGACAGGGCGATGGACACATATATGAAGGCGCTAGAAGAAAAAGATGGAGATTCCCATATATATTTAGATACCACATCTGGGGACGAGATCATCAACTATAAGCAGAGATAGACTTGATTTCTGAAATGAAGCGGATTCGTCTTTTCAGCCTAACACAGCAGAATTTGCTTGCGCAGCAGCGAAAGTGATACCAGTTGTGATAGGTACATGCTCACAAAGACCTTTCAAAATGCATAGAGTTTTTGTAGTTCTGAAGCTATGGGGAGATACAGTAGGTTTGTTAACACTTATGCAGGCTGTCGGCTTGTGCATGGTTCATTGCTTTTGACATAAAGGCTTTGACAAGTGTTTCGCGACCCTTCAGAAGTCATGTAATGCCTTTGAGGCAGGTTTCTTTGCTGCGTGGGTCAATGGACCAAAACCAAGAACTTGTCCCCCACTAGTTGTATTTAACACACCGTCCTCCCACACATATTGCCCCGTCAAAGTATAATAGCATTGTATTCAAATTGGCAACTGATACGACACCTTCAATGATATAATCTGCATTTCCAGCCTCTCGAAGTCAAACGTTCGTTGAACATCCAGGTCAGAGACGAGAAATTTAAGAGAGTAAAAAGACGAGATGAATACCACCAACCTCCCTCCTGTTTACATGCCCCTTGTATATATTGCACAGGCTCTATATGAGAACCAGCATGTCTGCGGACACTGCTCTTGGAGCGTCTTGCGGAGTTTCGTAGCTAACTATTACGGAACAACAATGGATGAAGTCCTCAGAATTCTACCGCACCTGTGTCAAGGTGTGTTCCTGGATTACTCGGGCGCCCGGGGCCAGAAGTACCTGCAGAAGAACGGCTCGATGCTGCTCAGCTACGTCTCTGGCGCCGACAAGGCCCAGTTGTGGTTTGTTATTGAAGGGCAATTCCAATACTCTGACATTTTCGCCAGAAATATGGGCACCTTCTTGAACAACCACCGTGACAGGATGGCCATCCTGCCATTTGGGCCTGGATGCACATGCACTGACAAGAGCGTCCTGGAGGTAGATATCGGGATGCAGCCTCAAGCGCTTTTCCAGAGGATTTGGAGCAACTACCTTGATCATGGGGCCAGGCTCATGGTGCAGTCTACCGCAACTCGATTATCGCCTACTGAACGTGAGCAATTGCAGCAAGCCGATCTTTTTGAAGCATTTCTTCTCGTCTGGACTCAGAAGATTGTCGAAGCCACATCACTCAAATAAGTTCGAGCGGGAAAATAAAAGGTAGGTTGGCGCAATAGATGGTGAGTACTGTTTATCAGATAGTATGCACGCCTTAGCATCCAATATCTCGTAAATATTATAACCTATTATTATCGTTTCTCGGCTTTTCTTGCATCTTTGAAACGTCTTCATGAACAGATCGTTATGCTATCCCCTATCCCACTTGTCTGCGCATATACAAATTTCAATGTTTCGAAAACAAACAAGTTCTACATCCCACATCACCTTATTCGCCATAGAATACCGCAAGGTCCCTCCCTTTCTACGCCTAGAGCTGGTCGATATGCAAGCTTTGAACGAGTCCATCCGTGTCTATCAGACCTGCAAATTGATCGCGTGACGCGAATTTCTAGCTGGATGGTACAATCTCGGTACCCAAGCCATGGTGGATAACTTCATTGATCAATATCAAGGGCTGCTCTTGCAGAACTATTTGTCTGTTTCATCCTACTGGGAGAAGTACGCAAAACATGTGCCCGAGTACGTATCGTTCCTTAGACCTGTTGACGCGCAGAACCTGTGGATCGCTACTCTGGACTGACCTTGGTCGATCGGGAGAACAAGACACTGAGATTTCTCCGACTCTGTTGCCAAAATAAATGTCGAAGTCTTGCATGAGAACCAAATTTCTTGAATCCTGCCGTTCTGCTCCAAGATCAACTTTTCAGAAAGCCTCTCGCGTCCTCCCCCCCCCCCCGGAAACCCAGAAGCGCAAAAACTATAGCACCCTCAGAGGTCCATTTTAGCCTGTGAATGCACGCTGAACAAAAGAGACAAAAGAACAAAAGATGAACTTGATGAGTCCTTTGTTGATTTGATCTGCACAGGGGTCGAACCTGTAATCTCCTGATTCGTAGTCAGACGCCTTGCCATTGGGCCAGCAGACCTACTGATTGTTGAAAAACGCATGAAAACTCAGAATCTAAGTATGTTGATGAGGTGGAGTCTGCGGGAGAGAATTTTGGTGGAGTGGAGACCAGCTCGTCCAAATCTTGATTAGTGTTGTGACACTTGCCATTGGGCCAACAGACTGATCATGACTGTTGAATTTTGATTCAGGATCAATGATTCTGAATCGCAGATGGGGTGGAGTCGAGGTTCGGAAGGCCCGTTTCACCAAGACGTGCATACTATGTACAATGAGTATAGCGAAAAGTGTAATGCTAATGTACGGAATGGGTTCGAGTCAAATGTAGGAAGGAGGACTGGCTTGTTCAACGTCTCGACTGCCGAGACAGTGTCTAATTACAACTGCTGAGTATCTGAAATATCTAAGACGGTGTTCTAATCAGTGAATGAGATTTTCGCATCACTCCTTGTTTCCAATGTCGTGCCGAGCGTCGTATATGTACCAAACAATCTTTTAGGGCGTAGAATGATAGCAAAATCTGGAATCGTCTTCCAGTCTATTCATTTCTCACCCTTGTCGTCTGCTACAGCCTCGGTAGCCAGGCCTTTCTCACCCTCGCGCCCGTCGTGCAGACTGTCACTTGTCCTGACTTCTCCCTGACCTATGACTTCACTCTGCTCGTCAGCCCTCCAAAAGTCCTTCTTGCCTTTCGCCAACCTCTTCGTCCACGGTGGCAGGAGGCCGCCTTGGATCTTATACGTCCACTCTTCTTTCTCGTGCTTGTTGGGTGGGACAATGCGTCCGCCCGAGACCTTCTCGAGCACCCATACCGTCGTGTTGAGTACGATGTAAACGCAGATACCAGCAATGAGGCCGTCCGCGATCGAGTAGGAAAAGGGCATGAGGGCGATGGTGACGAAGGCGGGAATGCTGTCGCCAGGGTAGCGCCAGTTAATCTCCGTCACAGAGAGTGTCATCATGCTCCCCACGAGGACCAGCACGCAGCCTGTCGCCCAAGGAGGAATGGAAGCAAAGATCGGGGCGAAGAATATGGAGATGAAGAAACATATTCCCGCCGTCATGGCAGTAAGACCAGTCTTGCCGCCTTCACCGATGCCCGCACCACTCTCAACAAATGCTGTCACCGGCGGGCAGCCGAGAAGAGCACCAATCGAGATGCAAATCGAATCTACCATGTAGCTGAAATTAAAAAAAAAAAAAAAAAAAAACATTAACAAACATTCATGAACGAGATTGGGGGGGGGGGGTTGCGCTGGGAACAAAACTCACGCCAAAGTGGAACCCTCGAAATCCTGGGTCACAGGATCGACCAGGTCGGCGTATCTGGCCATCGAGTACAGAGTGCCGGTACAGTCCAGAATGTCGACGTAGAGGAACGTAATGAGCGCCAAGCCGAACTGACCGCCATACTGAGCGATGTCCCAATCCTGCACATTCAGGGTCTTCCTAATCGGGTGGAAGCTGACTACCTGCTTGAAAAAGTCAAAGGCATCGTCGCCGGCGGCCGTGTAGGGAAAGTATGTTACAGAGGTCGTACGAGGCCACGAGATGATGGAGACCAGAATGATGCCAAAGAGAATGGCTCCTTTCACCCGATAGATCAAGAGCAGACTTGTCAGGATTCCGCCGCAAAAGATGCCGATCCACATGCGTGGGTTGCGCATTTTGGCCCCGTCAGGACACAAGCCGGTGTCTGGGTCGCGTAACGCATCCACACAGCCGGCCAGCGTGGTGGGCGTGTCTGTCGCGCCAACGATGAGACCGATGCCCTCCGAGTAGGTCAGGCCAATGAGTGTCAGGAACAGGCCGATGCCGACGGAAGTTGCGAGCTTGATGGACCGTGGGATAGCACGTGCGAGCCACTGTCGCATGCCGAAGAGTGCGAGGGCAAAGAAAATCCAGCCCTCAACGAAGATGGCCGTCAATGCAACCTGGTAAGGGACGCCATTTCCGAGGACCACAGTATAACTGAAGTAGGCATTCAGCCCCATGCCAGGGGCAAGTCCGACGGGTCTACGAAGTCGTCAGTTGGGATCAACACTCGCCTCTCGCTCCTGGGGGGAAAAGGGGCCCGCTGGGGGTGAGGAGGAAGCCACTCACAAGTTTGCGAACAAACCCATGCAGAATGAGGACAGCGCAGAAATGGCAGCCGTGGCAGTGACGAGGTCTCTCTTGATCTCATTCACGCACAGCAAATAATCTTCGTTATTCGCACACATTGGATCATCCGCTCCACCGTTGCAGACACATGTGCCTCCAGTATCTGCCACAATGCTCGAATTCACGGCTATAATGTAGGCCATGGCGAAGAAGGTGGCCAAGCCAGCGCGAAGCTCAGTAAAGAAGAAAGACCCGTTGCGGGCCTTCTTGTGGCCGGACCCTTCAAGCCGAAACCATCTTCCGATCGGGCTTCGCGCTACCCTCTCATTGATGGTGTGCACCAAAGTCATCTTGTGCCTGTCTGTCGGTATTGCTATAGCTGCCAGAAGACTTCCACTGTTGCCCTTGAGCAGTTCCGTTGTCGTTGTTGTTGTTGCAACACCACCACCAAGCACCGGGCACCAGAGGTAGGCGTAGCCCCCTCAGCGACGGTACTACGAGTAAGTGATTTAAGTTGGCGCGGGATTGGTAGGCTTGGGAGCTCACAAAGAGTCTCGATCGAACCCCAAAATGATTTATGAACAGCAAAACTGGAAGATATTCGGAAGAACGAGAAAAAAAAAAGTCCCCCGACCCGAAATTATATTATTTGCATATTCTTCGCAATCTTCAATCGGGCGGAAACAACAGCTCTAGAACTTTTCCACGTTGACCCTAAGTGCTTGGCCCATTGTGCCAAGGCGCCGACCTTATCTCTCCAAGGAGCGAGTGTAAGCCGGTTCTTTGAAACGAGTAAGAACTACGCTTTTTTATCTCTCTTGGCAGGATATGAGTGGATGAGCCCCGAGGCCAAGACTTGAATATTTCCACCTGATGCATATGCCTCGGTGACGCGCGTAAGTAATAGTGATAAGTAACCATTATCTGGGGCCTCGTAGTAGGAATGATTGACAAATTGACAGATATAAACTTCTATAGTGACTATTGTTTTCTTCTCTCCTTTCACCGTCTTAGTGCTTGATGCAGAAGTCGTTCAAGGTTTCATACTTACTACTAACACAAATGCCAACGCCACCACATATGCATTTCAACAAATTACTCGTGTGGTAAGTTTGGATCAATTGGGAACGATTGCCGGTAGAAATTAGCATTTCCTTGGACTGCAGTCAGACCTAGCCAGTAACTGTCTGTGCCTTCCAGACATCGCAATAAAAATACTCCTAAAGAGGGGGGGGGGTCTTTAGTTGCATGGCGAAATAGAAATTCCATCTTAGAGTACGATGAAAACAAGATGCGACAATGTTAAATCGCATCAGGTCTTACACTGCCTACAGTCTGTACCTTATCAGCCAGCTCCTACAAGTCTTCCTCGCCCAGGATGCCGTCCCACTTGAATTACACCAGATACAGTCGCAGGCTCCAGCTGGAATTCTTGTCTCAGTGGCTCAAATTCTCGACCGCAATCTTGGGCACGAAAACCAGTGTCACTAAGATACCTAGTAGAAAAGAAATCACGCGTAATGGCAAATGCTCACTTCTCCTAAGCGTGTTCTAGATGGGCGTGAATTCCTCCGTGCCAAGCACCGTATCTATCTTGCCACATGCGGCGCTTATTTTGTAGCAAGTTTTATGTACACTTGAGGCGTAGCTCTCGCTCGACATGAGCTTAGTTAGCATGACTGCTTCGCGTCAGGACGTAGAAGACCATCAACAGCGGCAAGATATGGATCGCCTAATCGTACGGCAGCCCAATTAGGAGTTCAAATGCTATGAACCCCGAGAAGCCAATTAATATCATGTTCTTCTGGCAGAAGCAGGCACGGGGGAGTGCGCGGAGGAGAAATTTGTAGTAAGCTTTTTACTTGAGATAGATCTGCTTGGCCTCACGCGCTTTGAGGGGGAAAAAGAAGGAAGCAACACTCTTACAGTCTTTTATCAACTGTTTCTCTATATAACAAAGAGCAAAATACGTAGAGGAAGCAAAAGCAATGCATGAGCACTCACGGGCGTAGAAAATCAGTCAACGATACGAGAAAAGAGAATAGAGGTCAAAGGTGCCGAGGGCAACAACCCCACCAATAGATTATACTACTGCCATATCCCTAATTAGGGTCCGAAGACGATGAAAAAAGAAAAAAAACGCCCCACTTTATGGGGGAGCGGAGGGACATAATAGAGAATGCCCAGGATTTGCTTCACGCTGTGGGAACTATCTTCGTGAGTTTGCTCAGTCAATCAAGAGTGAAGGGAAGCTAGAAGCGTTGTGGTGCCAAGTTTCCGGAAGTGAATGCGCGGCAACTGGAGGGCTTAAAGAGAATCCCAAAGAAGACGAGACGAGGGTGCTGAGCTGAAGAGGGAGGGAGCAAAGCATGTGTCACCCTGGACTGCAGAATGCTTCTATTTGGGGTCACATTACGGGTACGTAAAACAGCCTCTATGCATCTTATATTCATATTCATTTCATTTTCACAGTCGTGCTCTAGATTATTACCTACAGTCAAAAATTCATCCTAAAGAGCTGGTACGTTGATCCCAGATCAGAGGTCGACAACGCATGGTGCCGCACACTTCTGACCTCCCAATAGTCCCGCTCAAAGTGGTTTGAATCATTTGTGTTTGAATAAAATCACTTGTATGATTACACTGGGAGGTGGCGCATGGAAAGCTGTGTGGACATGTGGGGTGTGGACGGAAGCAGTCATCAGCGAACGGTGTTTGAGCTGCGTGTGTTTCTCGTCTCCTAGGCACTGGCTCAAAGATATGGTCATGGCTTGGTGCTTTTTTGACTAGAATTGGAACCTCTCAAGTCGACTTGCTGCAAGTGTCGTCGTACCCATCCACGTTTGTGCACTCTCCTGTCGCCGTCCCATTCGCTGGCACTACAGTGATATTATTCCACTGAAAGTTTGAGCATTTCGAGTAAGGCGAACAAGCCAGAGATACTGTGTCGGTCCCTACTGTCTCGTTCATCCAGCCAGTAAAGTTCGTCCACGTTATATTGTCGAAAGTGAATCCAGTCGCGGGGTACTCGTTGCATGATGGCACTCCCCAGCCCGCCCAGGCGGTGCACTGCTGGAGCAGCACCGGAGACGCGGTGATATTTTCAATGTAGAAGTTTTTGAACACTTGGGTGTAATCAGCAACGACCTTGGATCTGATAAAACAAAGGCAGGGAGTTTGAACTTACAAACATTCTTCACCGATCCTGTCCCGTTCCCTCCTCCTTGTGGAGGATAGTACGTCGCCTTGCCCATGTATGTTTTCAGATATGCCCCAGTGCGGCTTCCTATTAGCTGTTGTTTTATCAGCGTCACCATCGTAGCAACTGAAACACGTTGTGATCAAAGCTCTTACCGAAACGTCCTCTACTGTGACATTTTCTACCACATCAAACACACCCTCATACTGCCCTAGGCTACCGATCGCAATACCGGCGGTATTCACACAGGTGAGATTATTCACGCGTATGTTTGTTGAGCCTAATTACATGATTGAATGAGCATGAGATTGCCGGGATACTGGAAGGATATGGCTGGGTTCTGGTTGAAGACTTGCCTGGCTTAACACTAACGCAATCATCACCAGAATTGACAAAACTATTCTGCATTCCCCCCATGTTTTAGTATAAAACGAGGACTCGCCAATGTTACAAGACGCATTAACCTACCTGTATCGTGATATTGTCGCAATTCACTGTGTCAAACCCGTCGGTGTTACCCAGATTCCCAGGATTTGCCTGCATCAAAGTCAGAATGGAAACATATTATTTCATGGGGTGATTACCTACTTGATAATCATCCGAGGTGCTCGAGATGTAGATGTTATCCACCAGAATATTCTTCGACTCTACCATTACAAAGTTCCTGTCATAATTTCAGCGGTGCCCGGGTATCAGCCACACGATGTTAGCGTCCAAGAATATCACCTGACCACAGACTTACCATTTTCCAGACTGGAGGATCTTGAAGTTTTTGGCCACGGCATTCGAGACATTTCGGAGACTGAAGGGGATCGGGCGTCCAAAGAGTCCACCTATCCCCAGAGCCAGGTCATACCACACTTGTCCCTGACCATCAATGACGCCGGTATCATGACCATCGATGGTGATGTCTTCTCCAGAGAATTCCATAGCAATGGATATGTTCTGGAAGTAGTAGTGCGAGCCGTGCTGTATCCAGTACCGAACATCGGTCGAGAACTGTGACGTTGTCAGAGTATGCCCACCAGATTCGTGAGCGGAAGCAAAGGGCACCGCGCACGAGAAGGGTGCCTCTTAGGTCCACCTGGACGTTACTGAGGTTGTGAAGCTGCAAGACTGTCTGTATATCGTAGGTGCTGTTCTCTTGGAAGACGATACGGCCATTCGTACCGCAATTCTGGAAAGCCTGTCGGATGGCCGGGCCGTCGTCGGTGCCATTGCCACTTGCTGGAATGATGCAGGTTTTATTCCAGGTCTGTGCTGCTGCAAAGGGCAGAGCAAACAGTACCGTGTTGAAAATCTTCATGTTCAAATGAAGAACGAAAGATTAGAGATTATTTAGTGGTTAGATTCGAATGCCAATGAGTGCCAGTTTGAAGAATATGTAGAGACGGCATTGCTATTTATCAAATATTACCTGGGAAGATCGTCAGATCCTACGGCTAGGACCCGCATTGCCCACTTGTCGAGATGTTGCATTGTGATTTCGCCATCGCCTCTCAGCAGCAGATAGCAAAAGAGGGGCAATGGCGAAACGTTGCAAGCGGAGTGGTTTGCAGCGGGATGGGGCCATTTGACCGTACACTGTACGTCTCCTCCGGCCACTTTCTTGCCTGGAAAGACGGTCAGGAATTAAGCCATCTAACAGCGTTCCTATTTGAACCCGAGCAACCAGATTGTCTGCTGTTTTTGCTGCGGGTATAGCCTGTACGTGCAAGCGGCTAGCATGGGGAGCAAGAACCAATAATAAACGTGTGCCGATCTACAGAACCCATGCAAACGCAGAGGAGTGAACCTTCGAATTGGTGGAAAGAGAGGTACCCTCCCTTGGCCGTTTTGCCGATCCCCCGCATCTTGTTTATACTCTTTGCAATACCATCATCTGTTGACTTGTCTCCGATAAGAATGATTCCAAAATTCGTCGAGGGTTACTCGGGCGGAACTTTCTATCAAGGAGGAATTGCTAATTCTCCGGTGTGTTCTCGGGATTCGATGCTGTCGAGCGCTTCTTGGTACCGGATCTTTCGTAAGACCAGATGTCAGCAAAGTAAACTTTCGACTTGCAAAAGAGCCTGCGCTCACTTGAGCTGCACGAACAACACGTGTCAGCTGCTGGTGTCTGGTAATGTAATTAGTCCGTGGAGATTGCTGTACCTCGCTGTTCGGTTGTGGCGGACGCTGTGGTGTCGGCTGGGCATCTTTACTGGAGTCCGAACAACGGGCACTGAAATTCTCAGCTCCGGTGGATTTTTGGAAGGGGGGAGGGGAGGGGGCCGGCATTCAAGGCAGGAAAGGGAAGGAATCAGACAATAGGTAGAGAAATCATTGAGGCTCCTGAAGATTCGAAAATGCTCTGGGCTCACCTTCAGTAGAGTGGGGCAAGCAGTAAGGACAAGCAGCAAGGGCAAGCAGAGCTTTTGATTTTTAGTACAATTTCTCCAGAGGGCAAGAGTATCAGCTATCAAGAGTTTCTGGCCTCCTCAGTGAATAAATGCTACCACTGGAAGGACACTCAGGTCTGGGATAGCCCTGGGGCAGCCCTGGAGCCCAACTGAACCCTTCCGGGAGCTCCTTAACTGTGATATTATGGTGGTGTTGGGCAGTAAGGTTCACAATCTTACCCGAAATGATCTCTGATAGAAATGGAAAGACCTGCCCAATAGTACACATGGACCGTTGCCATACGAGTGTTGCTTGTTGCTGCCTCCGGGGCATTCGCATTTCCACAAGAAGATCACGATCTCTGGGACATAATAGGGCAATCAGCTGATCAGATGCTGGAAGGTCACACTGGTTCTTTCCCAGCAAACCCTTACCTCGAGCTCTTTTCTGCATAAAGTCCAACTGTGTGGGCATGAAGGGCCTTCCCCCTTTTACTCTTCTCTCACACCCTCTTTCCCCTTCCTTCTCAGTCCTTACCTCCCACTCATTTCTCCGAGTGGCCTTCTTCGTCTTTGTTTATATTTGGAAGCAAATGGAGTCAAGCTCTACAGAGATCTACCCCTGCTCCTCGGCGATGATATATACTACCGTCCGCCCTCACGACCACCCAGACCTGGTTTGCGTATCCACAAGAAGGCGTGGACTTCCTAAAGCCAACGTTGAGAGGCAAATTTGCCTCTTCATCTGTTGTGATGCCCATCAAGGGCCAGTCCGAGGCTCTATTTCCCATACCTCTTGAAATCTACTTCTCCCCAGCACCCTCTTCGTCAGCCCTTGACCCGTTCATCCTGAGGTTGACAAGCCGTCTTGATCGTCTACTTACCTAAGCTAGGATTGCGAGCTTCGCACACGACCATTTCCGGTGCAGGCTGTCTATCTATACCATCTCAGCTAAAACTGGTCGTGTCACAGTAAGCCGCAAGCCCGAGGCGTGACGATAGGACTTCAGATGTCACCACAAGTGATCCCTGATGCGAGCTCGTCGAACAGAGACAGTCTGGCAACAGTAAATATTCCATCCACATTTCCACCTGCTATTACCTCCAAATTACCTTCGACGGCTGATGCGTTGTGGAACAGAAAGTCGACAAGCCGCCTGCCTCCGCAAAAAAGGGTACATGTACGTTGTGTTGCTGGACGACCACGAAGACGACGAGGCAGAAGAAGAGCAGAGTACGCCAGCTGCAGTGTGATCAGGGCACATATCGTCAATATGACTAGCAACAGTGCTGGTTAGGCTGGCCTGGTCTCGCGCAGGTTCAGTTGACCTGGCCGCCTGAAGACCCTGCGATAGGTCTCGCTGGAGCTGGCAACAGATGAGCTCGAGTACCAGCTAGTTCAGACGGCTGTTGTGGTGCAGTTTAGCCTTGCCCCGTATCACGCCTAGAGGAAGGCCCTACTAAGGGAGAAGAGGAAATATACGTATAATTCACTGAGTCTCGAGTGTTGAATCGCATACCGACGCCTCGCCGGACAGTGGTACCGTCGCCTCTCTCTCTTGCTGACCAATGGCTTGTCGAGACGACTTCTAGACTGCTGCGCTCCTACCTGTGTAATGCCCGCAGGAGCGAGCGCCTTGCTCGAAACTTGCCTGATGCAGGCAAACACCGCGGCCGCTCGGCTGTTGGTGAACTCCATGCTACTATGATGAACCATGGTAAGTATGCATACGGGACAGCTGAAAATCCCTGAACGCCTGCTTTTGATTACTAACCCTTTTTATTCTTCCTCTCTATCTTTCTTTCTCAGAGAGACAGAAAGGCGTCAAGAATTTCGCCAAGAATACGGGCGAGATGTGGGATGAGCGGTGATGCAGTACGAACTGAACCTTGTGCATAAAGCTTCACTCTTCGTCGCCTGCCTCCTCAGGGTTTCGGAAGAGCCCTCAAGGACTGTCAGGTCGTTACGAACAAGAGTGCAGGTTTATTCTATATCAACATTTAGGGTGAGCATGACAATGTGTCTTTTCTCTGTTAGTGGTGAGCACTCATAAGCAGGTGTAAAATACGTCCTTTGACATGGTCCACGCTCAGCTGCTTCTTTGATTGCTGTCGTGTCTACACCACGGGAATGCCTGTATTGGCAAGCGATACGCCCTCAACGTCAATCCTATACAACGTCAGTCCTACAATACAGATGGCCTCAAGATCTGGATCAACAAAAGAGAGAAGACGAGGAAAGGAAAAGAGAGAAAAAAAAATTGAAGAAAGGGGGGGGGGCATAGGAAAGAGAGGGCTGGGGTAAAGCTCAATACCTGAACGGCCGATCTTTAAGCTCACGTCGCTGTGTCTCTCAGCTGGCCGAGATAGCAGCAAGAATCCTCCCCCGGGGCAGAATTTGCAACGGCTGTCGTTAGGTAAAATTGTTATTTACAAAGTTGGTCAGACAGACAGGCATGAAATGAAGGTGGGATATATTCGTTGCGTCCCCCTCCCCCTCCCCCCCTCCTTTCCTTTGTCCTTTAGTACATAGTACCAGCGCATGAGCCTTGTATTCGTCTGCATGAAGGCTCCAGTTGAATCTCAGGCCTGTGGGGGTAACCCACTAATCTGTGATGCGGAAAACCCGAAGTAAGTGGATCCTTGCATACTAGGAAGTGAGCACTAGGAATTCGGCATTACAAGAGAGGGAAGGGTGAGGGATCTCCGGTGTTCTTCTCGACGCCGTCTACCGTGAGTCCCGAGACCCTTTGGCACAACGTTGAGGGTGACTGACTATACAGCAAAATAGGAGCAGCCCCAAAAACTATTGACAAAAAATACGAGAATTGAATAAAAATCTGCCCATCGACGACCCGAGTGCATACGATCTATGGTAGTTATCGTGGTCGGCTGGCGGAGGGCTCCACTGGCAGAAGTTAGCCTATAGCCCAAGCCTAACAAGATAGGGAGAGACTATCAGATCGGTACCTTGGATTTGGACCCTGCCAAGCAACCTTGAATTGTGGAGTTGGTGTGAATCGAGCGCATTTCACAGGCCGAGGTTATGACATGTACTGCAGTAGTCGAGCTGTAGCTGAATGACCCGCGGAATCAGGAACCGTCCCCCTAACAAGCCCCCCCCTTCTTTCATGTCTTATTCCTTGATTTTAGTTTTTCCTTTTCGTTTTCTTTCTTCGTCCCCTTTTCTTCTTCTCTCAGTCTTCCTCTCTTGCTTCACTCGCAATGATATCCAACTCGGGTGATCGTATTTATCATCCTAGGGTTCTGGGTTAGACGTGACGATTAAGGTTCTGACCGTACCCTCAACCCAGTCCATGACACGCACCACAGACAGGCCGCATCATGTGCGGAGTGGAGGGTCACATTGGGCACGAAGTCAAATCCTATAGTAGCTATAGTGGCTGCGCACCCTTGTGACGAATGTCTTTTGAGGAAAGTGTTTCGTAGTCACTCTCACGATGGCCAATCCTCCGAGAGATGAAGTTCAGATCTGGCGCACAACAAAAACGAGAGGATCGGTGGCAGACGTCTGGAGAAGAAAGGCTGACGTATAGGTATATAGAGAGATAAGGGGAGAAAGAGAAAGAGAGAGAGTGCGTGTATGTGTTTTCAGTGTATATGGGCTGACAACCACCATTGCCCCTCCTCTCTCTCAGTCCTTATGACGTAGTCGTCAGGTCCCTACAATGTAAAAGTTGCCTCGTGGCCAGCAACGCGAACGCCTTCGGAATTCGGCAGGCCCTCAGCGTTTCAAGGCCCTAATGCAGCCTAGGAAAAAGAAACGAAGAAGAAGAGTAAGAAACCACTGAAGGGATTGACTGAATGGGATAGCTGCTGGGAGATAGTAATGGAGGGTAGTATCGAGACGAAGGGGCCGACGGGACATGGATTGTGGGAAATCTAAGATATCACAGTACGTAGTTTATAGTCTGTGCTAACGATGGCGCAACGTGAGCAGGGTTCTGGGGCTTCTTGATTTTTCTCTCTCTCTTCTTGTCAGATCCAGGGTCTTGGCTTCTGATGAGTAGAGAGTATATGGACCCCCCCCACCCCCCCGAGAAACAAGGTACGCGTTGGGCGGCCTGCGAGATCGATGAAAGGCAGGCAGCGGGTCGATGCTGACAAGACGGACGACCAGTTCAGTGTGTACACGGTGGTATTACTAGCCGTAAAAGGCACCCTGCGAATGGCTTTAAGCAAGAGAGGGAGAAAATAAAAGGTGGTTGTGGTACCCCAACTCCTATAAAGACTCACGCCCCCTACATGATACGAACGAGCCCAAAAAAAAAAAAAAAAAAAAAAAAAAAAAAAAAGGTTTGAGAGAGGACTGATGTCAACTGTCAGATTCAAGATAACCAAGGCCGATGGCAATGTCACCAAGGCTAAGTCCGGGACAAGGGCCCTGCATGAAACCAGGTGGGACCTCCCGCCCGCCGCCTCCACACAGGGCTCTCTTAGTGGAGGTTTTTCTCGATCCCTAGAACGCCTATATGAACTTGGCATCGAGAAATTCGCGGTGGAACACTTGTTGACCAGGATCAGCGAGGGCACGATACTCCATTCCTTTTCTCACCTTCCCTTGCCTCGTCGCCCGTTCTGTTTTCTCCCCCTCCTAACGGATAAAATCCTGCCTCTCTCCTCCTCCAGCCACTTCGGGCCACAAGGAATGCCATAAATGTACCATAGTATAGTGGACAAAACGGTTAACGGCTGACTTTCTTGTTCATTTTCTTTTCCTTTTGCCAAAGGCCGATCTACTCTGGTCAAGCGTCACTACTCATAATCCATTCACTGTTGTCAACCTGTCATCATGCGTGTCTCCCTCTGGTTGAGCATCTGTGTGTCGCAGCCCATCATGACAACAACATAGCCTCGTGGCTGATTTGGGCCACTAACCACCTTGACCCGATCTCCAAATTTCGTACTACATGTTTAATTTCTCCTTCATCCCTCTTTTGGTACTGATCGTGGCTACCACTCATCATCCCCCCCCCCTCTCTTCCCCCTCTAATCTGCTATGTAGTCGGTACCACAACTCGTACTACCATGGGTTTTGTCCCGTAGTAATACTCGATCTCGTCATCACCACCTCACGAAGCCTCCCCCAACTCAGCCATCTCCCTTGATCATCCAATAAAGCAGCCTCATTTCTAGATGACAGCTGGAAAAAACGAGAGGAATACATGCCATTTCACGGGATTATGCATGTATACACAGAAAACACTCATGAGCACCGGCGACAATGTTCTAAATCACAGCGCCCCGCGACAAAGTACGTTCCTAGTCAAGCGTATATTGTCCGTCATAATTATTCGCCACACATCAGGGTCCACCCCATCAACCACTTTCCATCATCCTGATTTGACTAAACCCCTTCCAAACTTTGACCCCATCAACTCTTCCCAAAAGGTCCAGGTACTGCAGCGCCCTTGCTCAGAGGGGCGGGCGCCTTAGCATTGCATTGCACTATAGTATTGTGGTAGTAGGTAGTACCGCACCCTCAACAACTTACAGCTTGCCAGGGGGACACACTTCCACATCTTGGTGTTGTCCACCCCCCCCCCCTCTCCCAATAATACCTTCCTCCTTCCTTGTACATCAAGCTGGCCTCAGGTAATATTGACTACTACACCCCTCCCCCCCACATCTCGGTTTTCTCTCACTCTTTCATACACACACATAGACACATCCACACTCACACTCACACACACATTAGCTACACACCCACACCCACCTTCCAAAAGCTCAGCCCTTGCTTCCACGACATTGTGTCTCTCTCCCGTCTGAACTTTTGCTCAATCAGCTGTGTCCCTTGTCTAGAGAGATTTTTCCTTCTCCATCTACTCATCCCAGACTACCGAAACAAGAGTGGCTCTAATACCCTGCACCACCCATTACCCAACAGGAAAACAGCAGGCCCGCATTGATGAAGTATATCCCATCATCAAAACACGCTTACCTGCGCTTGAGAACGATCTAAGGGCTGGTCCTTGCCCTTGATAGTTACATCCCGGCTGGCGTAAGAGCACTCCGAGTCTATGACACATTCACTCGGCCATTGGGGATCTACAACTGTCTTCTTCATCAACTGTCCCAATTTGAGGTTCTGGTCTGGCCCGTTGCTGATCAAAGATCAACACTGGTTTTATTCTATGCCGCGCGAGCCAGTATTCTGAGACTACTTTCCCAATCTTGCCCAACGTCTCAGGTCTCTTCCAGGAGCACACACATTGCTCGCGCAGAAAGACAAGAAAAACAGAAAAAAAAGAGGAAGAAATCATTCAAAAACCAGAAAAAAAAAAGTATAGAGAAAAGAGAAACAAAGTCAGCTTCCAATTCTGACTTGGCACTAATTCACGTTGGAAGAGAAGGGTTCTCCCTTTGCATTGTCTTTGTGTGCTTGATTCTCGGGTTCAGCGCAAAAAGGGAGGGAGGGAGAAGCGAGCTCCGTCATTCTACCATTCATCATGGTCAAGTCCAACATTTTGATCTATGTGCTACGACACGACCTTCGCCTGTCTGACAACCCCATCTTTCATCGTCTTGCATCGCAGACCGATCACGGCTTCACGCACTTGCTCCCTGTCTATGTCTTTCCCGCCCAGCAAATCGAGGTTTCGGGTTTCATCAAGGATGGCGCCGGGACTTCTCCCTATCCAGAGGCGAGGAGCACGGTATACAAGGTGTGGCGGACTGGTCCCCACCGGGCCAAATTCATTGCCCAGTCCGTCTGGGACCTGAAGGAGAAGCTGGAGTCTGCCGGGGCGGGCCTTGTGCTCCGTGTCGGAAACTCGAGCGATGTGGTGGCAGATCTGATCACGGGATTCTCGCGAAAAGAGGAGAAGGTCGGGGCAGTCTGGATGACCAAGGACGAGGGCGTCGAGGAGTGCAGAGAGCAAAAGGCCATCTCTGCCATCTGCAAAGAACACGACGCTGCGTTTAAGCTCTGGACGGACGAGAAGTATTATGTGGACGAGTGAGTACACCAACCAATTCTGCCGAAAGAACTTCCCCCTCCTGATCCTCTCTTTGATTATTTAAAAAAAAAAACTAACAGTCGTGAACTAACCCATTGGTCCAGCCGCGATCTGTCGACGCCCATCAAAGACATACCCGATGTCTTCACCACATACAGGAAGTCTGTCGAACCATTGAGAAGCCGACCGCGCGCTGTTCTTCCAAAGCCTGACAAGGGCCAGCTTCCACCCCTTCCTGAAGCGTCCTGCATACCGCCCCAGCAACCTCCTTTCACGATACCGACAGAATACGCCGAGGTGGAAGAGGCTGTCGTGTCCCCGGTCCGGGACTTTCTGTCGGACATGCCTGCGTTCCCCGAGGGCGCAGAGTCAGCGCACCCCTTTTCTGGCGGCGAGTCCTCGGCGCAGGAGAGACTGCACCATCTGATCAAGGAAGGCCTGATGTACAGTTACAAGGAAACCAGAAATGGCCTCCTTGGTCCCGCGTTCAGCACCAAACTATCCGCCTACCTTGCCCAGGGCTGCCTCACGGCCCGGCAGATTCACCACGAGATGCTCAAGTACGAAGACGGGACCGATGTGGACTACGAACACGCCAAGGGGTTCAAGGAGGGCGAGAACGAAGGGACCGCGGCCGTCCGGTTCGAGCTCTTGTGGAGGGACTACATGCGTCTCTGCACAATGAAGTTCCGCCACAGGCTCTTCCGGCTCGATGGTTTCCGCGGTCGTGATGAAAAGTACGACTCGGAAGCACCCACCGGTGCCACCACGACGAAGAAACCAAAGTGGAAGACGTCCATTGCTGAAAATGCCCTGGCAGACCAGCAGCCTGGTCCAGACGAGGTGGCCGAGCTCATCAGGCGCTTCAACAACGGCACCACAGGCATGGGTCTGATTGATGCCTCGCAGCGAGAACTGCTGCACACAGGCTACACTTCGAACCGCTCGCGACAGAACGTAGCCAGTTTTCTCGCGAAGCACCTGGGCATCGACTGGCGCTTCGGGGCGGAGTGGTACGAGATGTTGCTGCTCGACTACGACGTGTCCTCGAACTGGGCCAACTGGCAGTACGTCGCCGGCGTGGGCAATGACCCTCGGGGTGAAGCGCGCATCTTCAACCCCGTGAAGCAGGCTTTTGATTACGACAAGCAGGGCGCCTACGTCAAGACCTGGGTCCCAGAGCTCCAGCCGCTGCAGAAGCTCGAGAACATCTTCCAGGTCTCGACAACCTCCCCACAGCACCTTGAGGAGGCTGGCCTGACGGGCAACATCATGGCCACCAATCCAGTGAAGCGGATTGAATTTGTTGTGGACGGCAAGCCCAAGTCAAACAGACGGCCTTTTCTTCCTCGGGGCCGTGGCGCGAGGCGAGGCTATAATGGCAGTCGCCACATGCATACGAATGATGGCCCAGGAATGTCGTCATCTTCTGGGAACCCCGACAGCGATGACTACAGGGGCCCTCCGTACCGAGGTCGTGGTGGTGGTTTTGGCATGGGCCCTCGACGCGGTTTCCACAGCGGACGAGGTCGTGGTGCTTTCCACGGAGGCGGAGGAGCAACAGCATACATTCATCCGCAAGCCTATTTCGCCGGCCCTCAAGGACAGATGGGCGCGCCTGGTCAAGTAGGAGGAGGCTATCATATGGTTTCGGGACAGAACGGTTATCCGATTGTCTATCCCAACCTGTATGCTGCAGGGCCGCCGCCATCCTGATTCGGTCTCAACATACCTCAAGGGAACGCATCTCACACCAACACCACAAGAATGTTCATGACTTCTCATAAACGACGGGGACCGTTCTGCCATCCAACAAACAATACTTGACGATTTCTGGAATAACCGGTCTGCAAGCTTTTCTTAACTTAAACGAATGCATCCATCTCATGTTCGGTTCGCGGATAATGGGAGGTAAAGATTGTCGTTCCATAGAATCATGCCACGTACACGGGATGCGTCGGCATAGTTGACTGTACATATCATTACCCATTTGGCTTGCCTTGGAGATTAACGTACGTATTCATTGTTCATCACCTCAGTTGATTCCAGCTCACGTACAGTTCGCGGGAGGAAGATTTAATGATGTTTGTTGACGCAAGTAAAGTGACAAAGGAGGAGGCGGCATGGGGAACCAACACCCCTTTTCCATACAAAAGACGTTTTATGCTATAATGAATTAATGCTACGATGATTTCACACAAGCCTCCATATGTATACCTGGGCCCTCTATACATGCTCGCCGACCGCAATCCTGTACTGACTCTTGCCATTATGCTCCTCCTGGCCAAGCACCCGATATGGAGGTCTTACACTCTATATAATCTATACTCTTCTCTTTATATAACATGACGGGGATTCTCTAAATGTAAATGTCGTGAAGAAGAGCAGTAGGCTTGCCTGGATCAACCTGCAGCTGCCCTGAAATAGCGGTATAAGTGTCTAGACAGGTATTCTTCTCGGTCAGTGGTCTTCTTGCCCGATACCCTCTGCTCTGCGGCCTCATTGTGATACACAGCATAAATCTACCAAACATCACCTGCACAACCACACAAGGCCCCGTATGCAATCAACCCTAACATACTACGCCTTCCCCTGGTCCCATCTCAACGATTAGATGGAGGAAGCGTCACCGCGCCAGACGGCAACGCCTTCCCCCCACGAGGAACGATGAATAGCGCCCTTCCTCCAACGCACTCCTTCCCGTCCATAGTCTCGAGCGAGACATCGACCCAAATCTTCCTCTGGCGCTTTCCGCGCTCCTTTGGCTCGAGCTCGGTGTCTGGAATGGCTCGCGCTCGCGCGACGTAGAACTCGCCCGCTAGCGTGGGCCGGCGGTAGTGTAGCTCGAGGTTGGCGGTTAGGACACCGACGCTCGCGGAACGCAGGGCAGGGTCAGCCAGTGCGCCTCGGGCGGCGTGCTCGTCTAAGACGGTGGCGAGGAGGCCGCCGTGGACGACACCTGGCCAGCTTGTTGTGGAGGTGCCGAGGTAGAGGATGTTGAGCACGGGGTGCTGCTGCTGCTGCTGCTGCTGGGGAGCAGAGGGCAACGAGTAGGAGGCGGCGGCGGAGGAGGAGGAGGAGGGGTCGCTTGGTGATGGAGTGAGGACGGGGGCGTCATCGTCATGGACGAATATGTGTTGATAGGCACCGATGCCCGTCGAGGAGCCTAGGGGCCCGGTGGTAATGCGAGGAGTATCGTCGGATACAGGGACCGTTTGGTAGGCTTCGTGATGGGACCCTGGGGGTGCAGACAGGCTGAATGAGCACGCAATCGAAGGTGACATCTGGGTTCTCAGGTCTTCGGAGGGGAGAAGGGAGAGATTGGAGCGAACGTACATGCCGGGTCTGCCATGAGCTTCTTCACGAGGGGCAGCGTAAGGGCCCGAGCCTGGATGTCGGCTTTGAGGGCGAGGTCTGCAGGGCTGCCCGCGATGAGTGGTGGCGGCGGGCTAATCACTGCCCTGAGGATAGTACCAGAGAGGCCACCGATGAGGAGAAAGATGGCGGCGGACACCCAGCGCCGGCGGGCACGGCGAGGAGGCTTTGGTGGTGGTGATTGAGGAGGGATAGGAGAGGCCATGGGGCCTATGAGTGAGGAAGTCGTCTCGCTGCCTGTAAGCGGGACATGTTGGTCCTTTTGGGAGGACAGGCCAGACGTGGTGGTTGAGAAGCCTCTGGAAGCACGTATTATCCGAGAGGAGCAGCAGCCAGCAGCAGCAGCATGAGTAGGATAGAGAGGAGAGGGTGGAGGTTGGAGGCGTATTCTTGACGGGCGCCCATGATGGTGATGATGATGAAGTGCCAGCCTTGCGAGGAGGCTTTGGCGCTGGATCATGCAGGCTGTCATGGCTGGGCTTGTTGATCACAGGACGAGAGGCATTGGCGGTGTCCTCGATCCCGAGGAGGAGGAGGAGGAGGAGGAGGAGGAGTGCTAAGCTCCTCGGAGCTTTTTTGGTGATGTCCGGCGCGGCTTCTTGTTCCGCAAACCGGAGCCGAAGGTGTGATGGACCTCGGTACTCTAGGGAGCTCATAACCCTGACCCTCTGACTATGCACATGCAAATGGAGGAATGACCCCTCCTTCCCCCTTCGTACTCTCGCGAAAACCTCCTCTTGTCAAGAAATGAACATCCATTGGTCCTTCTACAGAATCCATTTTGTCTGTTCGTCAGACAGTCATCATTCAGATTTCTCTTGTATTGTTGCAGAGCAGACACGAAGACAACCCCCTGTCGTGAGCCGTCATCGATCGCAGTCCTCTCTCTATTTACTTTGAGACCCCGTTGACCAACCTTGGCAACAACAGTTCACGATGTGGAACGCTCCATGGAACACAACCTGCTACTCAGAGTGGGCGTATGACACATTGGTGTGCTCACATCCTGCCGCCACAGGGTCACGGTCATTCATACCCGTCTCACAGGAATAGAGTTCCATCGCAGACTGCGTTCTATGTCGCCATGCATGCATGAGCTTTGGGCAGATCTGACCGTCCAGCTGGATTGACTGGACCCAACGATTCTCTGACTTCTAAAGAAAACTCCTGTACCACGCCGTCCTCCCTCGGTAGGTGGTGATGCTGTAACATCGCACAAGATCATTCCTCAAACTTGCTTCTATGCGTGTCAAGTTTTCCAACGTCGTCTCACACCTTTCGATGTGCTTGTCAGCCCTCGATCAAGTCACACCTTGGCTAGCAAAAGGACGCCTACAGCTCAGGAGACGTTCGGAGTGCCGTATTCGTACGGAGGACCGACGACAGAAGCTAATGAGTCAACACAGAAAAGCAGTGTGACGAGTTACGAAATCAGGCAAGATTCTTCGAGTTTGAACCCCTGCGACGGGAAGCCTCCGGGCACGGACAGCATCTTTACTGGGAGAGGCGAATGTGGGGGTTCAAGGGCAAGTCACTAGGGCACACCGCTCCAAAGGGTGTAACCCTCGTGAGTACCCACGGACTGCGGGGGGTGGTATTCCAAGCTCGTGTGTAATTATCGGCTCCGACAGGATGGGCATCCATTCAGACGTTTACCGAATGGCACACCTTCCCGTCTTCCTCACCGAGGGCTTGCACAAAAGGAAGCATCAAGCTGGAATGATTGCACTCTTCTCGGGCTTCGAACTTCACGAGGCCAAAGCTGTGCCACGGCGATGGAAGGACAGATTGTCGTAGAGCGGAGCTACTCACCGACACATGAGCCGTGAGGAGAACGCAATACGTTGCAGATATGACAAGAGCACACACTGTGGTGGCATGCCTGTCCATGTTTTGATTGGTACTATATCTGAGATATCAGAAGAACTTACTACGGTACACGTGCATCCGGGCGTTCTCCCCCCACCCTGTCACTTTGACGTTGCCACTACGTGGAAGATTCATGGCCAGAGTATTATCTACCTGGGACCGATTTCAGCCTCAGTAAAATATGATATCTGATATCAGAATACGGCAGTACGCGAGAGAAGTCAATTGTCCTAGTGCTGAAAGACTTTACCCCTTTTGTGCCCGGAAAATTGATCATAAAGGTGACATGTGATGAATCTGGGTCGTCTCCCTTCCCTGTTCTTGCTAGCCAGACACGGGCGGACGTCACACCAGGACACTCAAGGCAATCGATCCAGTCCTTACGGTAGATTTGTAGCAAATTATAGACGCCCGACCAGACTTGGTTGGGATAGCGGGGGCAGCATGCCTGTCGTGGTCCAGGTGGTCTACGTTGATCATAGAAGGGCGGACGCCTTGGCCGGGATGAAATGTCTCAGGCTGATGAGCCGTGCAACCACCCTATACAAGTTTAGGCAAACGTTTGACAGACTCAACGGTTCGCTAGCAAATTGTGCAGGCCAGCGCAGCATATATAGCTAGAGTTATTGGCGGAATGGGAGCATTCCGGGAACAATGTTTCGATTTTGTGCCAGGTAAGCATGCTTTAGGGGCGGGGGCAAAAGCAATACGTCTGAAGTAGTACATTAGCGAGATGCAATAACATCTTTCCTTTTTCTCCTACGCTTCACCGCCTCAACTGCGTTGCTTCTTCTCCCGTGCCGCCATGGACTCATTACAACCTTCCCTCGCTTCCATGTCTGACGCCTTGTTGCCCTTGAGTGTCTTGGTTGCCTTTCAGGTCAGGTGGACCGGGCGACTTGTGATCGTCGAGGTCAGGGCTCCTACTGCTCCAGAGCCTCAGTCAAGGGGGGGGGGGTCTGATCTTGTCAACACTATCAATTGCGGGAGAATGTCCCCGGAGGTGGGGGAGGCATCTACTCGGAACTGCAACCTCCTTGATACTGCACAATGTGTTCATCTCCTCAGCTATGAGATGATGCCTCAAGGCTGTGGCTAATCAGAAAACAGAGGTTACCTGACAGGGTCCTGTTCATATTTCACTAGTCTTACTCAGGTCTAACAAGACGGTAGAGCCGCAGGGCTTGTCCAGCTGAATTGTCAAGGAGAGATCTGCCAGGGAGCCTCATTGTGACGGCGCCGCCCACTCGATCGTCCCCCCAGTACACCGCGCATTGCACGTCTCCTCCACAGCCTCATTCTGTCCACAGGCTCCGAGGAAGTCGTCATATGCCCACCCTCGCAGTGTGGTACATTTGCAGATGATGGCCCCAAGGCAACTTCCCATTCATCACCTTGATGACTTCGAGATGGAAGAGCACCGGCCCGTAGCGTCTCTGCGCCACAGAAATAAAGCACACTGGGAGAGAGAAGAGGGGGCAAAGATAAGAAGGGAGAAGGGAGGAGGTTCTATCGATCCAAGTGCCGGTGCTCGGTCGCAATGTAGCTATTGAAAAGTGGCCAACTGGGAACAAAGCCACACCAGAGCCGAAGTCGAAATTTGCATGGGGCCCTGGCAAAGGCAATATCTTTGCCCAGACATGGGTCTCACCCGTTGATCTCTGGAATGGGCGGTAACCTTGTGATAAACTCCTCGGATATCAGCGGAAGAAAGTGCGCAGCGCCTCAAAGATCCGGAAAGAGTTGCTTTGCATGGGCCCATAACGTACTGCTCCCGACACCGCGCCAGAGTCGGACACGCTGGGGGCTGTTATGCAAGCACAGCACGACAATGGCACGCTGTCTCTCAAGTCTCAGCCGTTCCTTCATCCGAAAGGTGTACTTTTGAAGACATCCATCAGTGGCTGGGGCTGCTGAAAGACACTCGGCCAACATAGCAGATGCTTGGCATCTGATGTAGGGCAACATCGCAGCTCCCGCTCGATAACACGGCACATCAGCTCGCCTCACTGGTGGATATCTTAATCAGGCGCCCACGTAACGCCCTGTTGCTGAGACGTTAGAGGTGCTTTCGACCCAGCGTTTCCTGGTGGAGAAGGGTACATGGCGCCTAGACAGCCTCATTAAATCAGTGACATGGTCAGATGGTGTTAAAGATGGGACGCTGAAGACGGCTCGAGACAGACATGCCCCCTCCCTCCCTCCCAGGGGGCCGACCGAACTCCAAGAACAGCGAGAATTTGTCCAGCTTGTCCTCCTAGTACCGGAGAATTTCTCGTCAGGCAAACAGCGGCCACAGGCAATGGTGTATGAGTCATGAAAGCCATCCAGTATGGGTGCCCGACGTAGTCGCCTTCTAGTTAGCGAGACGGCAGCATGATCGAGCTGCTGAGGTGGCGGAAGTGAAGATTTTCGAGATGGGACGGCGGGAGGCAACGTGCACTGAGTGCATGGTTGGGAGGTATCCTAGACTCGTGAACCCAACCATTGTCCTATCGTTGTAGTGGACTTGTTCGTGGTGCCCGTCTCTAGGACGTGTGGCATACCTTAGGGATCGAGACCTTCCAGACATCTGCGTGTGAAAGGGTTGCCAGCTGGGCACAAGGGGGCCTCCAGACGTCGCCTTCGTCACGCTTGGTCTGTACGGGAAGGACAAGACGATACGGTGAGACCGAGAAGGATACGAGGCGGCGAGAGACTTAAATATCTAGCGGACCATCCGTCATGGTGAAATGCTCTTACAGTCTGTGATTCGGAGAACGCAGAGGCGCTCTAGAGAGAATGAGTGCAGAATTCGAAGATCAAGAGTTGCACAGCCACATCGACGATGAGTGTTGTGAGGGATAGAAGTCCTTGATAGGTGTGAGGTTGGAACGTCGTGATGGTAGTGGTGGCAACTGGGTGGCAATTAAAAAAAACTGCCACCCTCAATAAGGTAAGAAAGAAAGAAAGGAAAATTATGGCTGGTTGCTGGAGCTAGCAGGAGGAGCTAAGCCTCATGGGAGCACCAACGCACGCTGATTGGTCATAATCTTGCTCTTCAGCGTTACCCTGTCTCCAAAATCAACGTCAGCATTTCGCTCACGACCAAATATCAAAGACCTGGATTCACAATTGATAGCAGTAGTTGTGCAGAGGCTCGAAACGAGGACAACAGATGCCTCTACCCTTGTGGAATTGCATTGAAATCACTCCGGGTACGCTCCCTGGGCCTTATATAGTAAATGTTCGAGGACAGCATCTGGTTTTAGATCAGGAGCCAAACACATGTGGTTCGTCTTGAACCCCTAACGCTGCCTTAGTATCCGTATCAAGCTACCTGCAGTGCCACATATCAAGACAGGGAACGGGACAGGCAGTACACACCCCTTCTCC